CCTCCTCTAGTGTAGTAAGTTTCTTTCATATTTCTTCTTAGCTCTAAGAATTGACTAACTGATGTGTAGTAAGTTCAAGCAATGCTTGAAGTTCGTTGTTGTTACCATTTTGGTTCCCATGTCGGTTGGGTTTTCTTCAGTTGGTACCTTCAGGAGATTTAATTTTCCTTTTGCAATCAGATCTCTGAAAAAATGATGTCTGACATCCACGTCTTTTGTCCTTTCATGATATACTAGGTTCTTGCTCAAGTGAATGGCACTTTCACTGTCTTAATAGACAGTTGCAGTGCCACTTAGCAAGTTTGCTTCTTTTAGGATTCCCTATAACCATGTTGCTTCCTTGAAAACATTTGAGACTGTTACAAACTCAGCTTCTGTGGTTGATAATGCAACCAGTGGCTGCAACTGTGATTTCTAGCTAACACAGTTGCCCCCCAATGTGAAGTCGTATGCTGTAGTAGACTTTCTGGAATCTCGGTCACCTGCAAAATCAGCATTTACATACCCAACCAGATTAAGTGATGCATTTCTTTTACAAAAAATCAAGACAATCTGAACAGTGTAGTTTATATATCTAAATAACCATTTTATGACATTCCAATGTTCATATCCAGGATTTGACATAAATCTACTCAATAGTGATATTGCATAAGCCAAATCCAGTCTGGTGTTTAACATGGCATACATCACAAAACCTATGGCATTCGAATAAGGGATATTTTCCATTTTTAACATATCAAATTCTGTTTTGGGGCATTGTGACTTACTGAGGATGAAGTGGTTTGCAAGGGGCATTGTTACAACTTTGGAGTCAGCCATGCCAAACTTAGAGACCAGTTTTTGTAGGTATGGGAATTGATGAAGTTTTAGGCTGTTTGCACTTCTATCTCTATCAATCATCATTCATAGGATTTTCTTTGCTCTACCTAAGTCCTTCATGTCAAATTCAGCACTTAATTTGGCTTTTAATTCATTAATCTGAGACATAGACTTACTAATCAATAGCATGTTATCTACATAAAACAGTAGGTATATTGGCATGTTATTAATGCAAGCAAAATAGAAACAATTATCATACACGCTTCTAGTGAATCCACTTCTTACTATGAATGCATCGAACCTCTTATACCACTACCTAAGGGACTGTTTGAGTCCATACAATGATTTATTCAGTAAGCATACATACTCAGACAACTTTTTATTCTTAAATCCTATGGGTTGGCTCATGAATATCCTTTCATCCAACTCACCATGCAAAAAAGTAGTTTTAACATCCAATTGTTCTATCTTTAAATCATATTGTGCAACAATTGATAACATGAGTCTAATTATTTTAAATTTATCTACTGGTGAGAAGATTTCGTAAAATCAATATATGCCCCCTGTGTGTAGCCCTTGGTCACTAACCTGGCTTTGAATCTTGGTGGATCAGATTGGTTTATCCCCTTTTTCAATTTGTAGAGCCACCTGCATTCCATCAACTTTTGATCTTTGGGCTTCGAAACAAGTGTCCATGTGTTGTTCAGGTGTAGTGACTCCATTTCCTCGACTCCATTTCTGCCTTCATTGTAGCAACCCACTCTTTGCTATCGTTTGATCCCATTGCCTCAACATATGTATTAGGTTTAGTTCTGTGTATTTTTGCACCAGCCAGTAGTGCTGTGTAGATCAGGTCAGCACAGTTGAACCTTGTGGGAGGTCTGATTTCCCTCTTGACTTTGTCTCTAGCTAATTAGTATTAGGTCAGATCACGATGTTGGTCTCCTTTAGTATTTACTGTTGGATCTTCTTTATCCTCCTGATCTTGGGTTGGCTGTAGCTGGTCTTCTGTTATATCAGCCTAATCAATTTGGATATATTGATTAGAATTAGTTGCAGGCTCCACCTCAAAATAAGTTATTCCAGTTTGTCCAGAATTTTCAAGATCTCCTTGTGAGCTACCTACATTGTTAGTACTAGATTTGTAAGGAAAAATAGTTTCATTGAACATCACATCTCGACTAATAATTACTCTGACCCCTGGGGCAACCCTTTCCCAAAGCCTATAGCCTTTGGTTCTTTCTTAGTACCTTTGAAAAACACACTTAAGGGATCTAGGCTCTAGCTTCCCATCTCGGGTTTGTGCATATGCAGCACACCCAAACACTCTCAAGTGATCAAGAGATGGGCTTCTCCCAGACCATCTCTCTTCAGGGCATTTAAGGTCTATAGGGCTTGAGGGACTTCTATTAATCAGGTAGGCTGTAGTACCTAGTGCTTCCCCCCAAAAGGTTTTTGGTAGACCAGCAGTGAAGATGAGACATCTAACCCTTTCTAGTAGGGTTCTATTCATTCTCTTAGCAACCCCATTTTGCTAAAGGGTTCCCCTAACAGTCCTATGTCTTAAAATGCCCTCATTTACACAATAAAAGTCAAATTCAAGGTTGCAGAATTCTAATCCGTTATCAGTCCTAAGGGCTTTTACCTTCCTATTTACTTGGTTTTCAACCAGGATTTTCCAGCCTTTAAACTTGGTTAAGGCTTCATTCTCAAACTTAAGAAGGTACACCCATACCTTCCTACTATAGTCATCCACAATGGATAACTATTCCCTCCACGTGTCCTAACCCTTTCAAGACGCCAGAGATCTGCATGCAAATAATCTAGACAATTTTCAGCTAGATGAGGTCCCTTTTGGAAATACTCAACCTGTACTGTTTACCCAATACACATGTTTCACAAAAGCTCAACTCAAATATGGATTCCTTACCAAAGTAGCCTTGTTGGCTTAAGATAGTCACACCTTTCTGGACTATATAGCCAAGTCTCAAGTGTCATTTCTCTGCAGCAGAAAGGTTAGTAGATAATAAAGCTGAATTAACAGTAGGTGCATAGTATTGGCCACACAGAATGTATAGACTATTTTGTTTGACTCCTTAAAGCATTATATCATTATTTTTATAAACCACTATGGACTCATTTTGTGCCTTATAACTACATCCAGTGTTCCTAATGAAATCAGGTTTCGTTTGAGTTCAGGTATGTACTTCAATCTGGTTAGCATTATGATCTTACCATTATTCAACCTAATGATTATGTTTCCTATGCCTTGAACCTTACAAGAGTGGTTGTTTCCCATGAATACAGTTTCAAATTCTCCTTTCCTAAGTTTTTGGAACCATTGTATGTTTAGGCTCATATGGAAGGTGCATCCTGAATCTAGAACCCAATCTTTACTGCTAGCTAAATTTGAGACCGTGACAGCTTCTGAAATCTCAATATTAGTTTTGGAACCATTGTATGACAGCTTCTAGAACCCAATCTTTACTGCTAGCTAAATTCGATGTAGATTGTAAAGAGTATAAAGATTCGAGTTTACCCCAAAGCGTGATCGGTGTTTCCATGCCGTCTACCTTTCGCAGTATAGCATCGGACAGGTTCATTATGATCAGATTATAGTCCTCCTCGTCAATTTCAGACTTCTTTTTCAGTTTCTCCTCAAGCCACTTGGTCGTGTCCTTCTCTAGAGCAATCCCTACCTTATTGTGGGAAATGAAGGTCTTCATCTTCTTCTTCTATGTGTTGAAATCGATCTTTTCATCGTATTGGGAGATCTCCATATGCATCGTACTCATAACTCTGTAATTAACAATGAACCCTAGACAAATATCAAGATTTACTCCGTGACTTGTGTTTCTAACCCAAACTCAAGAATTGACCCAAGACTTAGCAAGATTTGAAGCCCTAGTGATCTAGAATCCTTTAAATCGAAAAACCCCCAAATTCTGACAAACCTAGAATTTCAAATTTGTTACAAATTGAATCGATCTTAGACCTAGATGAACCCTAAGACCTAGGCTCTGATATCACTATTGTAACCTGAGTCTAATTTTATCAATCCAAGAATCAATTCAACACAAATAAGAATACAGAATCACACATACAAAAGACAATATTTACTGTGGTTCACCTATCCAATATTGGATAGATTATATCTACGTTGAGCTCCGAAATACGGAGACTCACTGCACTATTCAACGGTTACACAACGATTACAAGATTGATCTACTGAATCTGACAATTATAATCACCCAGACTTAATCACTCTAATCCCATACCTGTAACTTGCAAGATTTTAAAGCACTACTCTAGCCTTTAAAGGAAACGCAGCCTTCAATCTAATCCTGCCCAGAATTACAATGAAATCCCCACAGCAAGTAAGCCTCAATCAGTTTCTCAAACACTCAAAGAATGAACCCTAAAAGAGAAAACTAACCCGATAAAATTATCACTGTTTTGCCCCCTTTTATATTATTGAATGTTAACAAATGTGAGCCACACGATCTGTCTTGAATCAACGTTCAAGATTCACTTCTTCAACTAAACCCAAAACGACACAGTAGGCTTCATAATACTTTCACTTTTCATTGGTATATTCATCTCTTTCACAAGATCGAAGATTTCCTTTCGACGGTGCATGATAGCGATATGTAACATATTTTGATACTTATCATCCACTTGCTCAACCAACTGGGGCGATAGTTTAAGTATCTTGTTGACAATCTCTACTATTCCTCTTTCAATAGCCAGAAATAATGCGATTGGTTTTGAAACTTCACCTTCTCTTGCCTCGGTAGTTTGAACATTTCCTAGTTCTAAAAAATCTTCAGAGAGTCTTTTTTCAATAATCTGCTGCGACAAAATATCTCGATCTACTAGGGTTCGGGTGAGTTTAAAAGCAAGTTTATGCTTTCTCTTTGTTGAAGAATAAAGACGAAGATGGTTAGCAGATGGTTAGCTAAGTCAGTTAGTTGTTATAACAGAGTTAGTTAGTTGTTAAGAAGTTCGTTCCAAGTAGTTATTAGTTTGTTATAATGTTAGTTAATTAGTTAAAACGGTTAGTGTTTGTTAAGTTGTTAAGTTTGTTGTAAGTTTGCTGTATATAAAGAATACGCTGTTGTACTCTGTTTTTTGATTCAAAATGAATTCAATATCATTTTTCCATATCTGAGTTATTTTCATCACTCTTTATCTTTCAAGATTCTTCTCGGTATTGGCAACCCTGTTCTTTGTATCAGAGGACCTGTGAGTTTTAGAAAACAAGGTATGTATACATATCATTAGTCAACGAGATACCCTAGAGTTGGAACTGTTGCTCTATTAATCACTCTATAAAAGTTTTGGATAGAAAGGTACCATTTTATTGGCATATTTCTTTATTAACAAATTAAGATGAAAAATATAAAGAGAATTATATTAAATTCAAACAGTTACTATATATTTTAGTGTAAACGTGGTAATGGTGCAGTACGTACAAAAGTAGAGTAGTCTTGTCTTTATGCTCACTCGGTATCTACTTTTGAAAGCAGAGGGCACAGTAGCCAGCAGTTGAAGACTGGTCGTGCCATTTCTGTCCTCTAATGTTGCTAATGACTCATCCAGTTCCAGTAACACTAAAGCCTTTTCTGTAGCGAAATTAGAACATTAGACACTAGTTGAATACTTCAATTTAAAGAAAAACAAACTAGCTACATGGCATGGGGAGAGATCAGAGAGAGACCAAAGTGCTCTCCTTGGATGGCAGCATACAGAATGGAGGCCTCAGGTTCGTTGGCATCAGGTTTTAATCTGTGGCGGTGAATGTCTTTCAGCTTTGTACAACTTTCTCTACTACCTGAATATAAAGCTAAGACCACCTTTGTTTGCCCATATGAAGCAACTTTAAACAGCGAGGTTTCGCCTTCTTTATTTCTATCCTCAAGGAGCTTTACCGCCTCAATGTTACCATCAGCGGCAGCCTCATGAAGAGCCGTGTTTCCATAGATATTCTTTGCCCAATAGTCAAACTCTGTCATAGGATTTCCTTTAGCATTGTCAAGAAAACTTTGAAGCGGTTCTTTACTTTTGTTGAACACTGCCAAGTGAAATGCAATGTCCCCGGCTTTGAGGAAATGACAAAGCAAAAGCATTTTGGTTGTTGTAGAAATTCTTCAGTTTATCACACTCCCCGTCCAGCGCTAACTGATAAGTCGTCGCCATTTCTCCAATGCAATAACTTCCCTATGGAGGCAAAAAAAGAATTAATGAAGAACCACCCAACAAAAACATTTGCAAAATTTCTCTCTTGTTAATTTTGCATAATCATTGTATTGATTGTATCTTTTAATGTTCCAGGTGGGGAGTGATCTAGCTGGTTATACATATATAGGGTGCTATTATTTATTGGGTTCACCTACTGGGAAGATGAATATCATTTTGGCCAAACAACATCCTCCCACCCAAAGTTTGCCCTAAAGAAAATTTCGTACCCAAAAAGTTTCAAAACGACAATTACCCACCTTCCGTTAAATCTGTTAGTAAAATCTATAATAATAATAAATGTTTTTTATTTATGTTATAAAATAATTATTTAAAATTTTAATTCATTAATTGAAATTAACGTGTTAATAATTAATATATTTCTCACTCAAGTTAATTATAATTAAGTAATTATATAGATAAAGTAATTATAAATAGAAATATTTTATGATAATTATTATTGAAATTAAGATAATATATATATATATATATATTCTAATCTCATACTATACCAAACACAAGACAGCAACACTATGTACAATCCAATCATATCTAAATCTAGTCTAAATATATTCCAAAGAGTTAATCTAATTTAATCCGACCTCCAAAATGCCACTTAAATGCTAATAATTTAGGAAAACTTTAACGAAATTATAAATATATAATAAGCTATATGAGATCAGTGGGGGCATCATCCATGTCTATAAAAATGGGGTCGGTGCCCCCACTCACCCATGTAGCTCCATTCTTGAGTGCTTTAACATTAAATAAATAAAAAAAAAAGAACACTGTAATTTCTTTAACATCATCCCATGACTTCCAACTAAAATTGGAAAAAGAGCAGAATACTTGTTAATCTAAACAGTAAAAAACTCTAGATATTTCTTTAACAATTCTATGTTGACTCAGAAATCTATAGTTTCGGAAACGCAAGAATGCCAATGTCCAACCTTTTTACTCCATCAGTTTGGGTTGGCTCAGCTAATCACTGCCAACAACCAATCAACTCTTTCGTTACAAAAACATTGAGACTAAGCTCGCCTGGATTATCAAACAAAATCTTGATAATTAAGGCAATATATGTGAAACTCTTCCAAATTCAGATTTTATAAACCCACATATATGTATAAAGGTTAGTAATCTACGAACAATTCGTAAATACAGATACATGAAAATATGAGGGCTTTTCTATCTCTCTTGAATCCTGCTAACCATATATGGTTGAAATTCTTCACGCCTTGGAGAGCGAGGAGAAAGGAGACAAACTATTGAGATGGTTTTTCTACACTATTTTAATCAAAAGCTTGATGAGATCTTTTTTATCCCACCATGGGAAATAATATCAATCCAACGATCCAGACAAATCTCAACAATCGAGGCGCCATTGTCTATATCTGAAAAGACTGAAATTAGTGTACACGTGTTCACTTTCAAGTAATAAGGGAAAAGTATTTCAAATGTTTTGTTGGATTCTCTATTATTGAACAAGTCAGTTGAGAGAAAAACTTGAAATTTTTTTTGATGGAAAAACCAACTTTCCCATCATACTCGTCATTTATAAAACAATAACACTACACCAAATTTTTGTGCCGGCCAACATAGAACACGTTCTCCCATTTCTTTATAATTTGCTTCTAGTGAACAGCCGTCTATCAAATTTGGACGGTCGTTCACTCACATGGACGCCCGTCCATCAAATATGGACGGGCGTCCATATGCGAGGGACGACCGTCCATATAATATGGACGTCCGTCCCTATTAAAATAAAGTAAAAAAGTTTGTAAAAGTTTAGGGACGGCCGTCCATCCATTATGGATGGTCGTCCATTAATTTTGGACGGGCGTCCACAAATATAGACGGACGTCCATATGCGAGGGACGGCCGTCCATATAATATAGACGCCCGTCCATATTAAAATAAAATAAAAAAGTTTGTCAAAGTTTAGGGACGGCCGTCCATCCATCATGGACGACCGTCCATTAATTTTGGACGGGCATCCACAAATATGGACGAGCGTCCATATGCGAGGGATGGCCGTCCATATAATATGGACGCTCGTCCCTATTAAAATAAAATAAAAAAGTTTGTAAAAGCTTAGGGACGGCCGTCCATCCATTATGGACGGCCGTCCATTAATTTTGGACGGGCATCCACAAATAATGGACGCCCATCCTTCACCCAAATATGAAAAAAAAAAAAAAAAAAAAAAAAACTTTCCATGGGGACGCCCATCCACCAATTGTGGACGGCCGTCCCTTAATTTTGGACGGGCGTCCGTAATTTTTGGATGCCCGTCCAAAATTAATTCTTAAAAAAAATATTTTTTAAATACTGGACGGTCGTCCCTAACTTGTGGACGGCCGTCCATTAATTGTGGATGGGCGACGCCCGTCCATAATGTTATTAAAAATTTAAAAAAAAAAAATTCGCGTTTTAGGTTAAAACATTTGGGGAAGTTTCAAAATTTTTTAACACCCAGGCAGCCATTACCGTCTTCTTCGTCTTCCATCTGCGTTACTGCGTCTTCTTCGTCTTCGCGGTGTTTTTATTCTAGACTCCTGTTCTGCGCTTCTTCTTCGTCTTGGTAATTAAACACTTTCCTTTTTCAAGTTTTTTTTTGAAATTTTTTTTTTTTTGGTTGGATGAATGTGTTGAATAGAGTTGAGTTGATGAGATAAAATCCAGTCAATTTGGTGGGACTGGTTTGTGTGATTATGAATAGAAGTGTTCTGCCATTGATAAAGATAAATGGAGTTTATTTCAAAAAAATGGTTTATGTAAACTACAGTGAAAGAAAAATTGGTTTTAGGCTATGTATAAATTGATTTTAGGCACAATTTAGACAAATTTGATTCGAAAACAAGGATAAGAATACACGATATGGAAACAAGCCATAGACTTCCAGTATCCGGGCTTCAATGTTGTTGATTTCTCATTTCCTTTCAATGAAAAATAATCAATAAGATAAGGTGTAGGCACATATTCATTATCTTGCCCACTTCACTAATGTCGGCAACTTATATTCAAACTTTTAATACATGTATACACTTACACAATACACTGCTACGTATGTATATCGACCTATGGCACGTACTATACAAGCTGTACCAGCATTCAAACAATGCATCTACCTCCATCAATTAATTCTAAATATCAAAAAATTATAAATACAATGAAATGCCACAAACAACATCACACAAAAGGGGAATTGCAAGCTGGTAGGATCTTTAGTAAATAAAACAACTTCTGGAAAAAAACAACTTACCTTTTGTGTTCAATAGCAGCTGAATCTATGTCATACTGCTCTCATTTGATGCCAAGAGAGATTAGCTACTATCGTCAGCTTTTGTTTCGCTTTTTTGCTTTTTGATTAGTTCATCCATTAAATTCATGTAGGTCGATTTGTTTATAGGGATACCCTTTTGTTTTGTTTCCTCAAAAATGCGCATTGCATCCCCTTGAATATTTCATTTGACTACACAGTCCATTGATCTACATGAAACTGATGACTAGTTGAAAAAATGATGACTAGTTGAAATTGCATGTAGCTTCAAAATTCTGGCTGCATGTTATAAGTCTCAGCGGTCGGCACGGTCACAAAATTAAACCTAAGTACCGTAGTTAGCGGTAAACAGGTACGAATCCATAGGGAGCAAGACTAATGACCTAATGTATTTTTGAGTTAACGAAAGGAAATTGGCGGAAGATTGATTAAACTAAGGAAACTAATTACTGTAGGAAATTAAAAAGCATTAAAATAAATTGCTACTAAAACACAAATTAAAAGCGTTGTCGCTACGGGTTCGGTTTGACTCAAGACCAACTCTCACAACCTCTCCTCGCTTTCAATTTCCTAATCCTACAAGGCTAGGCAAATCAATAGAAATATCTCCCGGCAATCTAGGCATAATCTATCCTGTTCCCCGTCGTCTTAGTTACAGATCGATTGGTTAAGACTATCATTGACTAACCGAAAAATGCTAAACCCTTAAACACCACTAGTTGGTACAACGTTAACAGTACAACCTACTAACTTGTATCATCCAATCAACTAATTACACAATAAATGCATCCTAGTAGAAATGATATTAAACGCTACTACAAACTTGATGCAATCAGTACCGAAGCAATTTAAAGTCATAATCAACATTCAATAATCTCAAACCGACATTCAATTATGCAAAAAGTTTAATATCAATAAACGTTCTCAATGGACATTATCAATTCAACACGTCGAGTATCAGAATAATATTAAAGTATCGCAAACAAACTGAAACGAAAACAAATATAATCTGAATACAAGAAACTTAACCAAATATCCAACATTCGGGCTCATCCAACTAGTCGAGAGCTGATGAGGAGATCAGTGGAGTCAATCTCGATCTCGCCTACACCGTAACGGACAACGGGAACTCAGCCGCGCACGGTGGTGATGACGGAGGCCGAAAAGGTGGAAACGGAGCTGATCATGGCGAAGAGGAGGAACCGACAGCGATATGATGCGAAGAAGGGCTGAAAACGACCAACGGACAGCTCGGAATACGAACAGCCGTGGTTCGCCGAAAAACGTTAATTTTCCGGCGGGGCTCTGGAAAACGGTGGCGGAAATGGGATCCGAAGGTACCGATGGAAAGCTCTGGTGAGGGGAGTTTAGACAGGTCCTGGGGAGGTGAGAAGTCGTCGAAAATGAGCAGGATCTGGCTGGAAGATGAAGAGTCGCGGCGGCTAAATCACGGATTCAGGGGTTTTCGCGGCGGCGAAGCAAGGGAAGTGTAGTCCGGCCGTGGGGAATGAAGTTCTACCCTTGGGGAGCTGGAACGTCGCTAGAAAACGATGAAATCTCGCTGGAAGACGAAAAGTCATGGTGGTGGAAGGCGAAGCGTGCGGCGTGGTGGCTCTCGATGGTAGTTTGCCGTGGTTTTGACGGGGATGATGATGAGCCGTGCACGAGGAGACGAACGTCGCCGGAGAAGACGAA